CCCCAGGATGTTTGGAGAACCTTTCGTTCATTTCCAAAATGTTCTCGGAGCATTTCTGCTCACGATGTGGAGGCAGACACTCAGTGGACTTTTGGACGTTCTACAAACATTTAGGAGACGTTCCCTTTCCACAGAGTGTCTGCATTGAGCCACTTCACAATTTAGACTCCCGGGATGTTTTGGGAATGTTTGCTGGCAGAATGGATGTTGCCTAATGTTCCAGAAAATTCCCAGTCACAGTGCTGTGTTCTTTAAAGAACAGCGGGATGACAGACATCAAAAGTGTTGGTCCCTGTAGGTCACGACACTGAAGTTCGGTAACCTTTTTAGAACCGTCTGTGACTCCAAATGAGGATGAAGGATGCCAACCTGTAATGTTATTCTAAAATATGAGCCGAGAAAGGAGCCGGGCTGAAAACAGACAGAGATTTGAGGTGGGAATGTTTGGTGACAGGAGGAGATGACGAGGGAGAGGGGGAAAAAGCAGCAGCAGCTGCCTCATCCGTGCGTCACGGAGACAAATAGTGTGTGATGCTAATGACTGGCTAAAGCTTTTGCCCCTGCTGCGAACAGCCGCTAATATGACTGCTAATAAAGGCACCGTGGAACGCTGTCGCATTCCAGCAGTCGCTCAACTGTCGCCCAAAATTAGCCAAACAGGAGCTCTCCCTCTCCCGCCGCCACCCTCCCCCCGCCTCACATTAAATCGCAGGGAATGGGGCCCTCTCCGTATCCAAAAGGTTTCTTTTCTGCATTAAAAGGCCACTTGTTCACACTGTAATAGAATTTGTTCCATCTTCTAATGCCAAGGATGCCCACTCCATGAAATATGAAGTGGTCTTTTTGTGATCTGAGGCTCTTTTCTTCTTTGATTACTACCTCTCGTACGGCTCACTCTTCTTGGAGGACTTTGTGATGCTGCCGGGGGGACAAAAGCAAAAGCAAACTCAGGATGGTGCAGTATTTTCTCATCGCCGTCCTTTGTCTGCACAGTGCCTGCAGAATTTCTTTTTAATTATTTCTGGAATTTTAATTGCCAAGTGAAGCGAGTGGGATGCAGTGCCTGTGATGACGAACGTCGCAGCCAAGGTCACACAGCAATGGAGCCAGGGAACGTGGGATGGCCGAGCTGCGGAGGCTTCCTGTGGCTTAGTCATCGTAGGGCAAACACACCTTTCACCGTGTCACAACAAGCTGACGGCTCAGGGACGAGAGGACACCTGAGAGCCGGGCGCTCTGTACGCAGCGCTCCTCAACGGCAGCGTGATTAAAAGTCATTTACATAAGAATCTGTGTGGCTGCTCTCACCGAGCCGGAGCTCTTTAATGGCATCCAAATGTCTGTTGGACCGTAGGTGGAACTTTCAGCAGCGTCAGGTTTTAAAGCTTGTTCACGCTCTGCTAAAAGGCATCCCTGTTTGTACAAGCCTGACCCGAAATAATGAAGCGTACTCGACTCCTTTTAAAACTACAATGAAAAATACACAAGCCAGCAGTTATTATTTGCTATCCATTAGCTGATGTTGCAGAGCAATTATAGCAATTCAACAGCATTGTTTTGATTCAGGTGTAGTCACATTAATACCTGTCAGCCACTGAGCCGGCGCTGAATGCTTGACAGCAAACACCAAGTCAAACGTGCTCCGTGCAGCATTTTCAGGTATTAAACGCTTTTTTTATTGCCAATTTGTGAACACAGGATAACGCGGTCTAAAATACGAGACGTTGCCCAACTTTTGTTTGTCTGAAAATCCAGGAGATAAAAGGCTCCTGCTCGTTCCCCGAGAGCCTCGCTGCAGTGCCTCCCAACACTGAGCGACGCTGGCTAACATAAGCTTAGAAATGGAGCCGACTAATCAGGACGTCACCAAACGACCGCAGCTCCACAAAAACCAACACTGGTAGCTTCAGAGGCTTTAGATGAATACAGAGAGCTAGCTAAAGCCTCGGTCACTCAGGCCTAAGCACTGACTGATAGCTGCCGCTTGCTAGGAGAAAATGAACCAACTGGCTGCGGCTGGTTCCTGGTGGTACCTGTGAAATAGATGGCGAGACACCGATAATGCAAGCCTAGAGACCAGTCAGTAATCCCATGGTAACCGCCAGTCGCTAGGGAAAAATATATATTCCCTGCCTGGTTGCTGGAGGTGAAATAGGCTGCAAATCCTCTGCTGTGGTCGCCTGTAGTTTCCTAAAAAACGCTGTGAAAAGATTGATGCAAACTGGAAACAGTGACCATTTACCTTCAAAGTAAAAGACGCACCTATTGAAAATGTTTAGTGTCAGCGGTGACGCTAGACTTTTACTTTGAAGGAGAACATCTCAGTTTCTGGTTTGCGTTGCACTTTTTCGAACTTCACTACAACTCAGAGAGCATGAGTCGAGTGTTTGCAGATCAGTCTGCATCTTCCATGCAAAATGTGCATGTCAACAGCAGCAGTGTGTGAGCAACCAAAGCAATAACATCGAGGTTTTTGGTGCTGCACACTCTTTGCAACCCAGTTCACTTGGCAACAGCCAGTGACCTCGAGCAACCACTCACCAACCATTCACCAGCCATTCACCAACCATTCACCAGCCATTCACCAACCATT